AAATTCTACCCTATTCATCCTAAATCTCTTTTAACATCCCATATTCAAACCCAAACTTCTCCCATGATAATATTGGGAGATATGCCAGCTTTTCTAAAATTGGACTTGATTATATTAAAAGGAACTAAATTTTGTTTTTCCCTTTTGGCCCCTCCAAAATCTCTTGGAAAATTCAACCAAACTTGATAACAATAAGTTCATTTCAAGTGGTATCAAATTCATTGCCTCTGCCATTTGTAGCCCCAACTTTACCAAGAGATTTTACATACTCTTGACCAAATAAGGTTTACATTGATTAGTCAACCCTATCGAATATGTGGGGAGTAAAAAAGAGGCTCATCCAAGAGAGGATCCATATTTTCACTCTAAATCTGTTAAACAAGGCTCATATAATAAAGGATCAGTAAAGAGTCATCAAACAAGGCTATATATTTCAACTCTGAATCATATTCATGGCTCTTGTCATTTGACTCTAAATCATATTTATTACTTAAACATTGTATTTTATTTATGCCAATTGTCGACCACCAAAATCCTTTAACATTAACTAATTTGACGGTAATCGCGTGTTTTCCCGTAGTGATGGTGGTGGCCCTCATCTCAAACACTTTGAATTACATTTGTGGGAACATAAATTGATAATATTTAATGTTAGGTTGTCCTAAATTATGTACCACTAGAGAGTCTCCCCCTAAACCACCTTCTAAAAGTTCACCTACCTCATGTGAAGCCTTTGGGAAGCCAGCACTTACAAGAGGAAAGAACTTCAAATGAGTTGTCTACCCCGAAAAATATTTTATCGTCCTTAAACTTGAAAGAGAAGGCCAGAGAGGGAAGCATAGGAGTTCTTATGATGGCCAGAGTAGCCAATGTTGTCATTAGCATATTTTATCGTACTATTTTTGTGGCTTTTGGCGCAAAATAAAAAGATGTGACCATTTTTGACATTAATGTTGAATCCCATGTGATTCTTATTTGGGTATCTTTTCCTAACTTGAGGCCTCATCTATTTTGTCTACGGATCCTCCATAGTTTAGGGTTGCTTTTTGGTAAACATCTTAAATCTGACAATGCTATCGTGATTGGATTGCGACCTTCCGTCGCTCACATCCTTATTGAGTTAGACATCTCCAAACAGGACAGATTTTGGCTTGGCCTTGATAAGTTTGGCTATGTTCAGTTTGTAGAAATGGAGTTTCCTAAATTTTGTAGTCACTGCAAGTCTCTGGGACATTCTCATTATGAATGTTCTTCTTTTCATCCTTCTATTATTGTGCCCTCTATTAATCTAGCCCTCTTGTCATTCAGGTTGATGTGGTAACTCCTAATCAGTTGCCGGTTGGATTTCCTGTTCTTAATTCTTGTGAAAATAGAGAGAATGATAATGACATTTTGGATGCGAAAAATTATATGGAAAACACGTTGTCATGTTCCTTCTTTTCTCCTATTATTGGTCAAGGTGTTGAGGCTGGTTTTAATGATGGAGATGGGGTTGGCAATGCTACCCAATTGGACCCTGGGGTATGTCGGGTTAACAGCTTTTTAGGAGATCTAGATTTTGTTGTGGCTTCTCATGTTGATATTTCTAAGTTGGTTGTGTGTGCTAGTGTTGTTAACAATGTGGATGTTGCTAACGATTAAAATGCTATGGTTCCTTATAAAGCTTCTATTTTGGAAAATGATTGTAGTCATGACTGTGAACTTAATCAGGAAAATATGGGTGATCATTCTTCTAATACTAATAATGGTTCCATCGCCTTTGGCCTCAGTGGATATTAATGTTGAAGCGTCGCTTATCTATGTACCCATTTCCATTGTTTCCAACAATTCTTTGTTAGTGCATTTGGCCTTGAAAGAAGTGGATAATGGTGTGTCTCAAAGTGAATGGTTAGCTGATTGTGATTCTTCAGTTAATTTGGAGGATGAGGAGGAAATTGAAGGCCAAGGCAATGAGTATCTAGAAAAATATGGTTTAAATTTTATTTGCATTGTTGATGAGGGATTCTTCAAGAATGTTGCTAAGCATAGACATAGAAAAGATAAAAAAGAAATGAGTGCTTGTTTTTCATTTTTGTTTCTTTTGTCCTTTTGAGTTGGTTGAGTTTTTATGTTTTGTCTTAGCTATTGGTATTGGGGCTTCTTATTTGGTTATGCCTCATGTTTTGTTTGTGGTTCCACTGCAATGGTCGGCTTGGGGGTTTGGTTATTTTCGGGCTGGTTAAATTGATGACAGGCCTTTGATTGGGGCTCTAGCTTTGGGTTTGGCTGCTTGTTTGGTTGTCTGAGTGGTGTTTGGTTTGTTGGGTTTCTTTTGTTCTCAATGGGGTTTTAGGTTTTGATTGTGGTATTGTGATTTGGGGTTGGATAAAGCGCTCTCGAACGGGTCTCTTCTATTGCTGGTTGATTGTAGTTGTTTGGTTTATTCCACCTTTGGCTCTTTTTCTGTTTACTTCGTTTTGTCAGAACTAACTCTTCTTCCTTGTAGGTTGTGTTTCTTGTAGTTGCTCGTGCAGTTTGATTTGGTTCTCTAGTTGTGTTGCACTGTTGCTGCTCGCTATTGGGTTTCTGGTTTTCCTATAGGGACTCCTTCTTGGGTTTTCTTTGGTTGTCTGGTTTTGCCTTTGTTGGTTATTACTTGTATTAGTTGGATCCTAGGCTCTTTAAGTTTTATTTCAAATACTGTATTTTTTAGTCAAGCTTTTGATCCCTTTAGGACCTATAACCGCTTTCTTATTAACACATAGGCCCCTTTGTGGGTTTTATAAATAAAAAATAAAAAAAATGAGCACTATCATGAGTTGTTTATAAATTGAAACACAAACATTATAAAGTGGCTCAAAGGATCAAGTAGCTTAGAATTAAATTTAGAAAGTTACATAAAATTTACCTCTAACTCAACCCCTACTTTTAAGCATTTTAACATTCCTAAGCAATCCAGTACATTGTCCACTAATTAATACTACTCACCCTATATATAATGTTATTATTTATTGTTTGATATCTCCCTATATTTAGGCTATTAAGCTCCTAGTTATCAGCCTATTAAGCTCTTTTAACCGCTACTATCTTTTAAATAAGTTCAAATAAAGCATTTGGCCATAAAATCAAACATGTAAAGAGCCATTTTATGTTAGTGTATCTTTGATTAACATAGTGCCAACAAAAGGGTGGGTTTTCTATGCTCATGAAGAAAATGCTATTCATATTGCTAATACTAGTAAAATGAACCATGTAAAATGGTTTAAATCTAAAATTTACTAAGGGTTGTTAAGAACTTAGCAAAGAAAAAAGGGCATTGGATTTTATATATGATTAAATGGAAATCTATAAGAGATCTATTTGGGTTGATAAGGAAATATTGTAGCATACCCCTTTCATTACCTACATTAAAATCAATGTCAATATATATTTTTTGGGTCTAATATTTCAAAATGAAAAAGAAGAATAATCATAAAAGAAAATTAAAAATAATATGCATAAATATAAAGATAAAATAAAATAAAACGATCATAAGTAATTTTTAGCGTGAGGAACAAAGGACAGTTCAAACTATATTTTCAGAATGTGATATGGAACCTTGTTATTTTATTGCAGGAGAAAAAGTTTGTAAGGACAGTTATTATCACTGCTATATATATTTTGGGGACATTTATACTAATTAAGGTAAATTCATACACACACATCACATATGTAAAACTCGAACCCAATATCTCTTGATTTGTAGCCGAAGCCCTCAACTAACATACCAAGTTGAGTTACGTATACCGTTGCTGCAACATAGATAGCAGTGGTTTTAACTATTGTAAATTAGTGCAATATTTTTAATTGATGCAAATTAATAGTGGGGATTTAAATTGTTGCTAATTAATGATAGTAAAAAGTATATAAAAAAATCATTTAATTTGATGAAATCTAAAGTGCTTTATAAATTGCTGCTACCAAGTGCTGTCTTAAATTCGAGTTTTTGATAATGATATATTTTCTATTATTACTATATATAGACTTTGAACAAATGAAATTCCCAAGAATAGATATTTATTTTACACAATTTTATTGATTTTAAGTTGTGCATCTTTTTACCTACTAAAGAGTAAAATTATATCTATTAAAGTGATTAGAGTTCAAATTCAAAACTTTAATAATATCTATCAAACTTTCTATGAACTGAATTAATTATCAACTAAGTAGTGTATAAAATTAGCTATATATTTAGAAAATTTTCCTAGAAATCAAATTAAATAAAAGTTTATAGAGAGATTTGAGTTTAAATTTTATTATTTTACTTTATATTTTAAAACTTAGTATCATATTGAATGTTTACTAGAAAGAAATGGCTACACCAAAAAATTAAAGCTTTGTTTGGGATAGTTTTTGTACTAAAAAAATTTGTTTGGGATAGCCCATGCTTTTTCGTTCTATTTTTAAAAAAATTGTACTAAAAGCTGCTACAGAATGTAGTAAGAAAATTATCCCAAATGATGTCTAAGGCTTCGTTTGAGATAATTTTCTTACTGCTTTCTAAAACAGCTTTTTAAAACAAAAAATTAATGAACTAAAATTTTTTATACTAAAAAACTCTTTTATAAAACAATCGAAAAGCTGTCCCACACGAAGCCTTAAGTGTCAAGTAAAAAAACTCTTGCCCTGAAAAAAAAAATGCATCCAAACAATCTCATATAAAATGCATCATGATAATTTTAAAATTCTACTACACAATTTAAAAATTAGGTAATTTGTTTACATTCTAATTTTTAAATACAAAAAATCTGATTTCTTACACGTAGTTGGATTTTAGAGCATCTTGATCTATTTTGTGAGGCTGTCGTGAAGCAAAAATTTTCCATTTGCGTTCATACAAACTTTTATACAATTTTTTTATAATATATAATAAGAGTATTTATATGCTCATAGAAAAATTATCTAATATTTATATATCTAATATTTAAATTTCATATTTATTTATATAGCATAAAAAAAAAAAAGAGATATAGGGGCAAAAGGAAAGGGATCATCTCCGTCAGAATTCGTACGCCGGTCGGAAAAAAATATCTAGATAAGGCTCGCAAGCACCGCTTATTCTTTTTAGCATCGTGTTAGCGTGAAGGTGAGGCGAGGGGTAGAAAGGCGAAGATGCGGAGATCGGCGGGGATGGGGGGAGGAAGAGTGCTGCGTGCGGTGGGGCGAGCGGTCGGCTCAGGAGTTGCGGGAGTGAAGGACGTGGTATCGGGCACGACTGGTAATAGAGCGGCGATGCCGGCTCGAGTGGCGGCGCTTTCCTCTCGTTCGGGCTCGAGTTCAGCGGCCGTCGTGGCGGCGGCGACTCGAGGTTCGGCGCTCTATTTATGCGATGGGGAAGAGTGGGAGACCATTGAAGGAGAGGATGAGGAGGTGGAGATGGAGGAGCGGTTTGAGCGGTTCGTGTTTGGCCCGGTACCGACCACGCAGGAGGCCGAGGAGGCTGTGTCCTCTATTCAGCAGTAAGTTGTTTGTTTGGGAATTAATTTGCGCATTTTCTTTGCGATTTTTTTTTCGTTGGCACGTTTTCTTTCATTCAGCCTCCATCTGGTCTATGTTTTGAACTCTATTTTGCTGAATTTAGAAGATTTTGGAATGTTAGTTTGACTTATTCTAAAATTGTGCTATTTTTTGTTTGGTCTTGGGTAGTAGGCCGGTAGTCATGGTCGCTGTGACCGCTTGACCGATCCCCTATTCTTGTACTGTTTTAATTTTTTTATTTTTTTTTTCGCTTTTTGTTCTTCTCGAATTAAAGTTGAGTACTGGGTTTCAGCTCCGAAGGGCTGTGTGAGTGGGGTGGGGTTGATGAGGAGTTACAATAAATTCATCGTTCGAAGTAATTATCTCGTTGAAAGGGTACATTTTGGGTACACAAATTGAGAAGCTCACAGCGTATCTAGACTTGAGATGAGATTTGACACGCCTTTGACCTAATTTGTAGGTGGTGTCTGCTCGTCTCATTGGATGATTTTGAAAAAGAACAATACTTTGAACATCGATGCAACCATGCAACGTTTCGATGAAAGGAGGGTGAATGAAATTTAACAACTTTTTACCCAATTAGCCATTATTTTCTTGGATTTTCATTTTGTTAAGCTTTGTTTGGATTGAAAGAAAGTGAGGAAATGAAATTAAAATCCTGCAAATTTATAGATTGATGATGAATTTGCAACCATAAATTTAGCCCCTTTTTTGCATGATTACTGTTTCACCCATCCAAAAATTCAAACCAAATCCCTACATAAGAAAGAAATAAAGAAATTCTAAGTCATAGTGCATTGGAATATATGAATTTTTTTTTCTTATTTCTTTATTTTTTTGAACTGGTGTTGAATTTTGTGGTTCGTAAAGTTTACGTTTTTGCATTTCCTTGTATTCCATGTTCTATCACCCAAATACAGCCTTTGACTCATTTTTCCAGCACTTAGCCTAAAATGAAGGAGAATTTTTTCTGATTTTATGTGTGTTTTGCAGATGTTTTCCATGTTATTTTTGTTCTTTTGTAGAGTAGAAGGAAAATGATGACTATCGATTACTATGCTTAACAGGGATGGGTAGTTAAATTCTATTTGCTTGTTTATGTCTTCCTAAAATAATGGATAATGAATAGATTAATTTCATGAAAAGAGGTTTGCGTCTTATTTCAATGGAAGGTTGCATATTGATGCAGTTCTGTTTTTTAATAACAGAAGTTAGGATTAAATAAGGAAAATGGAGTAGTTAAATCTTAGGGTTGGTGGCATGATTCTTCAGATAACAAGGGTGATTCTCTCCACTAGAGTTTAGTGCTTGGAGTTCTGAAGTTTTCTATTTTTCTTAATACAACAAATGAAGGGGATAGCCCATAGGGCTGCTGCTTTAATCACATAAAATTTACTTTTGTCAAGGTGGTGATGACGAAAAGCAGACCTGGCATAGCATTAACCTATAAGAATGCAGAGAGAGCCTATGATAATTATGACGTTGTAGTGTTCAGAATTTGAGATAAATGGCCTATAATTGTGCATTAACAATTTGGGATTGAAGGGTTATTTCTTAAATTCATAAACAAGTCATATAAATTGGACCTTCGAGACATTTAAAAATGAATTGACCAGTGAGTATTAAAATACAGTTTCAAAATTTCTGTCCCTTGTGTGTGTGCTTATTGGATGAGTGTTCTTCGAGTGCCACACATGTGTGGGCCACTTCTAGGGAGGGAGACTCCTTATGTTGGCTTTGATGGTTGGTTCTTACTTTTGGGGCCATTTCTATCTATATTCTTCTCTCATATTTAGTTGGTGATTTGTGGTGACTAAAATTATGTCAAGTAAGATACTCGTTGATATTTCTTTTTGAAACTTGAATTTGATTAGTTGCTGAATTTTATTTTTTGCTGCTGTTTTCTTATGGAATTTCATATTTTGGGCAATTTTTAAATTATCTCTTGGAAAATAAAATCTTATTTGTTATCTTTTCATTAAAAGCAATAAGTGTTAAGAGAGTTACTAATTGCATATTTTATATTCTTACAACTTATATAATTTTGATGATTCTAAATATTATTGTTTTAAGTTTTGTTATCTCCTAAACAATTTTTGGAAGATTTATTTTTTGCTCTTGTGTGGACTAACATTTCAGGAAATTCGAACTCCAAACTAATGAAGACTTCAAATCAAATTCAGCATAAGATAGTTTGTAAATTGAAGCTTGTATTTTTCTTTGAATTGAGTTTGAGAGGGAGTGATTGTAAACACACACACATTTAGGGAGATCTTTAAAAAATTATATTGATTGTAAGGGACGAACACAGTTCGTACGGGACGATCAAGTCAATTATCTCCTCGGAAGAGCAATGGAACGAACATGAAGCCTAGAAAAATTTTCTAAGTCCTAATATTCCAGGACGAATTTCCTATTCGTCCTAGTACGAAATGGGCTCTGAAAAATTTTTGTTCAGACGAAATTCATATTCGTGCCAGGACAAAATGCTCTCTGGAAAATTTTCGTCCAGACGAATTTCCAATTCGTCCCAGGACGAAATGTTCTCTGGAAAATTTTCGTTTAGACGAAATCCATATTCATTCCAGGATGAAATGCTCTTTGGAAAATTTTCGTCCAGACGAATTTCCAATTCGTCCCAGCCTCCCAGGATGAAATGTCCTATGGAAAAATTTCGTCCAGACGAACTCATATTCGTCCCAGGACGAAGTGAACCGACTCTTGAAAATTTGGCGACTTCCTGCAGATTTAAGAACCGACCTAATGGTATAACCGTTCGTATCGGACGAACCTTGTTCGTACAGGACGATTATCGTGTACGAAGTCAGTTCGTACCAATATACATTAGGTTTGTTTCCAACTGAAATAAGTAACATCGTTCGGGACGATTCAGGATTGTACGGGACGATCCACTGCTGACAGACTTGAATTTTAGCAGTTTTTGGACGAATTTTTGTGTCTTCCCTATATAAAGTATAATATAAACTGTCACTTAATCTTTTTGTCTACTGATCTTCGTGCCAATTGAAAGGAGAGTCAAGGAGAGAAGTGTTTTAAGGAAAATTCTTACTACTGGAGCGTGAAAGTTTCACTTGGTACTCACTACTCAAAGGTAAAAGTCTCTACTTTTGGTTTTTGATTACTTCACTCTTTTCTCTCTTCCTTCTAGATTTCTTGTGAAGAAGATCTGTCAAGGAGATCCGGTTCTCTGCCGACACTTGGAGAGTGTGAATAGCCGAAGGGTTCTCTGCCCACACTAGGAGAGTGTGAAAGGACGAAGGGTTCTCTGCCCACACTAGGAGAGTGTGAAAGGATGAAGGGTTCTCTGCCCACACTAGGAGAGTGAAAGGACGAGAGGTTCTCTATCCACACTAGGAGAGTGTGAAAGGACGAAGGGTTATCTGCCAACACTGGGAAGAGTGTAAAAGGACGACGGTTCTCTGCCGCACCGGATAGTGGTTGAAGAGAATTTTGTAAAGGCTTCTCCGCCTTGCTGTGGGTGCAAAAGGAGAGTCACTAGTGGTATTAGTGCAATACTCGGAGGGTGCCTCCGGGGAGTGGATGTAGATCGTATTTGACCGAACCACTATAAATCTCGTGTCTTTTATTTTTCCACTGCTTTTATTTTTTGTTTTACTGTTTTTAACTTGTGGTTGAAAAACGTTTTCTATAAAATTCACTAAAGTTAGTTTTCTCGGTTTTAAATTTTAAAAAGAGGGGTAAAATTTTTAATTACCAATTCCCCCCCCCCCTCTTGGTTAGCCGCTGGGACATAAGCTTAGGTTTAACAACCTAATTCATAGTGAACAAGTTTCAATAATTAGTTTTTGCTATAATTATATGTTAGTTACTTGTGGATTGTGTTTTTTTGTATTTTCATCTTACATCTCATTCTAAGTTTATTAGAAACTCTAGGATATTTATAATTATACACCACATACACTACGGATTTGATGTGCCATTTTATTTGATGCATTAAAATTGTTTTTAGATTTTAGTAGAGTATTGACTTAGGTACACATATTTTAAGAGTTTTGTATCACCTCATAAAAGTGTCGACTTCCAAACAAGGAAAGAAAATAAAATTCTCTTCATTTTTCTTATATTATATCTATTGTGATCACACATTCTATATGATTTGTTTCTGGTCTTATCAATCAACATTGTGATGTTGTAATCTATTTTCAGGTTTGCATAGTTTTTTACTTATTTTGAGGAATCATGAGGAACTTCACCCTAGAATGCCTACTGAATTTTGAGGGATATAAGATATGGTAGTTTAAAATTGGGAAGGTATCTTTCGGACTGGTTGGTGAGCCAAAAGATCCACCTTCGATTTGATCGGGATCATATGCAACAATTGAGGAGAACCATTGACAAGCATAATACTATCACCATGTGATATCACTATTTTAGGAGCCGTGTGGTAACCATCAACAAATACAAAAGTTGCTGGCTACCTAGATGATGGATGTGCCACCACTTTGGTCTCGGTTTCATCTTCTTTGAAAATTTGCTATTCAAGTGATCGATAGATCATTTCCCTTTATACATTTCAAGGATTCATTTTTAATCTTCTCAAGGCTACCAATTGATTGTTGTATACCCACAACAACTAATTGAACGTTTCTTACACTCATTATGACAACACTCATTTAAGGATAAATGCTTGATGTTATTGTCGGGTTGGGTTACATCAAGGATCAGCCTTAAGCCCATATCTTTTTGCTTTAGTCATGGATGTTCTCACTAGACATTTGCAAGAGGATATACCTTGGTGTATGCTTTTTGCTGATGATATTCTTCTTGTTGATAAGACTAGAGAGGGAGTTGAAGGTAAACTTGAATTATGGAGGTCAACCTTAGAGTCTAAAGGTTTTCGCTTGAGTAGATAGACTTAGTGAGGGATTGTGACTTTGGGCGATCAAGTCATTAATAAGAGTGCACGTTTTAGATATCTTGGATCGATTATTCAGAGTGA